GAGACCATTCACTACAGAAAATAGTAAGTAAGCCAGTGCTTATCTTGCTTCCTGGGCTAACCGGCAAGATGTAACACACACACACACACACACACACACACACACACACACACACACACACACACACACGATTTTAAAGGATCACCGCCGCCCTGCCCCTCCAATGCTGGGTTGTAGTGCACAATTGGGTAATGTTTGCTCTGTTATACAGAGGGCCACTTTGCAATCACTGACCACACCAACAACTCAAAATACCTCAACCATTCTAATTGTTGCTGTCAGTAGCACTGGCTAAACATCACTGGAGAATGGGGTCGATTGTGATTCTTTTCCTTTTTGTGTGTTTGACACACTTTGAACATAGCATAGTTAATACTCTACAAACAAGATCACAAGTTTCTCCAGTAAGCAAATAGAAGCCTAAAACTGCAAGCCAAAAAAAAAAAAAAAAAAATGTAGTTGAGGGTCAGCAGAAAGAGTTGGGGCCGGTACACGCAGTTTTCATTATTAAATAAAATCCTCAATCTCCTCCAGCTTCTCAAATGACTGTAATAACATTGAACTATTTCCTATGTGATTCATGGGGAGCGTGGGTGGCACAGTGGTTCAGCACAGGGCTGCTAACCAAAAAGGCACCAGTGTAAACTCACTAGCTACTCTGTGGACGAAAGCTATGGCAGTTCGCTTCTGTAAAATTCACACCTTTGAAAAGCCTGTGGGCAGTTCTACCCTGTCCTGTGGAGTCACTAGGAGTTGAAATTGCTATTGATTCCCAGGCTTGCGAACTCTTGGTAGTATTGCTGTGAAGCAGAGTGGACTCTACTGCAGTGGGTTTGGTTGGGCAATTCCTCCGTAGCAAGACCTTGTCCGTTACACTGTCACTTTATGTCCGGTTTGATGTGATTATATTCTTTGCTGGAAAACTCAATCTCACACGACTATAGTGCAAATAGTAAGCAGGAGGAGAGACTCTGGTTATTGTTTTAAAGCTTAAATTACGTACTTTGTTCAATAAAGGAGGGCGGGTGAAAAACATTGCTACTAGCTTCTAGTTAGTACATGTATGAGCTTATTGCAAACAAAACACGACTAAACATTCCTCTATGATTATTGGATTGCTGCGGACAAGTTCGCTCAGTCATACATTTGTCTTCATTAGGCCTAAAAAAAAAAAAAAATCCAACCAAAACTGGCTTCCACGGGGATCTGCTGGGCCAATTCAACTCAAAGCACAGCATATATAGATGATTATGGTAACAATTTGGGGGATTTCAAATCTTGATAGATTTTCTCAGAAGAAACAGGACAACCAGGGGGGCTTTTATGAATTTATCAGAAAAGTGGAAACTGCATTGGTAAGAAAAAGGGAAGGAAAATTGCACAAGAGATTATTTCCCATCATGATAATGCATCAGGTAATTCTTTGAAGGTACCAAGGACGACCCTACCAGGATTTCATCAAGAAACCTTACCCCTTCCAGCTTTTAGCCCAGTTGTTGCCCCATCAGCCTTCTTTTTGCCTTTAAAACTCAAAGAACACTTAACGAGAACATGACTTAAATCTTTCAAGGATACTAAAGCTGCCGTTTTGAGATGGTGTAAATTGAAGAGCAGAGAGTTCTTAGGGAAAGTGTTAGAGAGAGGGAAAAATTGCCTTCACAAGTACACAGACCTAAACAAAAGATAAGTCCAAAAAGGCTAGCTACATACCTTGTGTTTTTGCTTAACAACTGTTCCCATAGTTTGATAGCAATACTTTTTTGACTTACCCTTGTATGTAAAGACTTTCTGTTTTGTTTGTTTGTGTGTTCGTGCTATGAGTTGGCCATTGTGTGTAATGCAGTGTCATTCCGCTTGGGTACCTGTAGCTGCTGACCAGCCTATCATTTCCTTAAAAATCATATTTAAATCATATTTTCCATTAAAAGGAGAATAATAACCTTGAAGGCTTAGAGTTGAAAAATCACTAATGGAGCTCTGCACAGTAGGAACAATCAAGCAAAATTGAGCAGAACAGAAACTAAAAGCCCATTTGCTCAAGCTGATTCCAACTTGTTTCACAAACAGGCAGAGGCAGCCCTTAGAGCAGCCATGTGGAACGTTTTTTCTTGCACTTGGTGGCTGCAGGGGGAAAAGGATGTAGAATATCAAGGATGCAGCATATTTCTACAGAGCAGAATGCATTTATTAGTTTCCTTTATATGAATGTGATCAATTAGAAAAAAATGAAAGATGATTTGTTCCTCTAAATTGAACATTCTAAAGCCCCAAGTTCATTCTAATCATAACAGCCAGTGCTGAACCAGCATTCACAAATGTATAGGGACTGTTTTGTACCAGAGAGTCCTGGATGTAGTGTCCAAAACCAGTGTCTAAAAGAGACGATGGTGAGTGGCGAAACAGGGAGGGTAGAGGGAGAATGGGTAGGAAAGAGGGAACCGATTACAAGGAACTGTGTTTGACCTCCTCCCTGGGGGACAGACAACCGAAAAGTGGGTGAAGGGAGACGTCGGACAGGGCAAGATATGACAAAATACCCATTTATAAACTATCAAGGGCTCATGAGGGAGGGGGGAGCAGGGAGGGAGGGGAAAATGAGGACCTAATGTCGGGGGTTTAAGTGGAGAGAAAATGTTTTGAGAATGATGTACAAATGCGCTTTACACAATTGATGTGTGTATGGATTGTGATAAGAGTTGTATGAGCCCCTAATAAAATGTTTAAAAAAACAAACAAACAAATAAATAAATAAAATAAAAGAGACGATGGCAGAGAAGTCTGAGAAAGAAGCTAAGCGGAAAACTGTTATGGAAGAATGATATAAACAATCTCTTCAGAAGAAAACAGGTACATTTTGCCATGAAAGCTGTGAGATGGAAGGAAGAAGGCAGTGAGATCTGACACTAATATCGAGTCAGGGAATTCGGAGTCCCATATCAGTGTTTCGGTGACAGGACTGACGCGAGGACTGCCCTTTGAGAGATGTTTAGCCGGTCTCAGTTGGTGAGCAGAAAGTCCTCAACATGCTCCCCCTCTGTTGGTACTAGTCACTTGTTACGACAGTGATGCTCAATCCCTAGGCAGGGCCCCTACTCCTCAAAGGGCATATCCATACCTATGGCCCTCAGCCAGCATGTCTAATTAAATGTGGCATGTGTTCCCATCCTGAGCTGAAAACTAGGATTTCTTTCGTACTCATTTTTTATGAACGTACATTAAAGGCGAGTAGAACTATGGACTGAGAGACAATGGCAGGGCGCTTTGAGTTTTGACACCTCAGAGTATCATGGAATTAAGAAAAATGGTCCTTAATTTTTTTTCAATGAAAAACATTTCAGCATTGCTGAAAAAGTGTCAAAAATCAGTGAGATATTTTGTTCAAAAGATTCTGGTGTTCTGACAAAAAGGCTGGGGATTACTGCTTCATGTGAACTTGTATTACACTTAAATTTGAAAAAATATAAAATGAATAATATTTTATATGTTCCATTTTAGATGCATGTAGATATAAAAATGAAGATAATTATTTCATATTTATATTAAATCATATTATATTAAGTGTCTGAATTCATTAATAGTCATGATAATATTAGTTATTACGTATAGTACAGATTATGAATTGAACACAGATTTAAGCACTTACCTATGCCCACGTATTTAATACAGCAGCTCAGTGCAGTAAGCATACTTATTATCATGCTCACGTTATGGCAGGCTGAGGCAGAGTAGACCGTAATTTACTCAAGTTCATGAAGCTACTAAGTCCCGGAAGCAGACTTTGTCCATGGGACTCTGATTTCAGAATTTGTGCGAATAGGGAGTCCAAGGATAAATGAGGTTGATCCCCACGATAGAGAGGAAGCGTGATGAAGAATGTTCAGGTAGAGGAACATCAAAAGCAGGGGGAGCTCACTCTTTTCTAGAGACATGTTCTTGTTTCTGTCCTCGCCTCCCTGCCATCAAGTAGATTTTGAACAGAGTGACGCTCTAACCCGGGAGAACGGCCCCTGTGGGCTTCCGAGATTCTAACTCGATAGGAGTAGAAAGCCTCTTATTTTCCCTGTGGAATGGCCAGTGACTTAGACATGCTGACCATGTGCTTGGCGGCCCAACCTAGGTGATGGTATATCCCGAAGAGGTAGAGTTTGGAAAAGCTGAGTGCTTTCAAAAAGTAAAATAGTTTAAAAGGCAGTTACACTAACCATACCTATACACTTCGTGTTGATTTTAAAACATGCTAAATGCTTTACTTTTTACAGTAAGAATGAACTAAATATAGTGGCTGCCACAGTCATTAAATGCGTGACTGCTAACCATGTTGTCGGAGGCGCAAACCCTCATTCACTCCATTGGGTAAAGACCTGCCATCTACTCTCGTAGAGATCACAGCCTTGGGGCACCTGGGATGCCGGCACAGGGCCACTAGGAGTCAGGGTCAACTCAACAGCACAGAAGGACAGCAGCATCGTTAGAAATAGATATCATTCTCATCAGTTCTTAACTTTATTGATTCCCACACACATCCCATTTTCTGTTTACAGTGACAGAGAGAAAAGAAACCTTAAATTGTGGTGATGTCCTTGTTCCCTCTTAGTGCTTTGTTAAAAATGTCAAGACTTCACAAATCTTCACCTCCAAATAGTTCCCTTTCCAGCCACTTGCTCTGTTAGATTTTTCCTCTCCTCCTTTCAGGGATAGGAGGAAGATGTGTCCCCTTGCTGTGGCACATTGTAGGAGGTGCTCAAGTTTCCTGCTGGGAAGGAGGCAGAAACAGAGAAGGGACAGTGGTAGACACGTATGGATACGTCCACATAAAATGTGTCTTGTTTTAAAAATGGAGGGATCATTTTCTTTCTTTAAAGGAGACTGCTTTGACTAACAGCTATTACAGCTGCTGTTTGATTTCTTGCAATGTGTAACTGAATTTACTGGTGGCACCTGACTGTTTTCAAGGCTGCTTCCTAATAACAGCTGTTTTCTGAATATACATCTTGAGTAACTGTTTAAATCCTTTCATTTTTTTTTTTAATCAAAATAACTTGAAAACAGCCATGTATGAGATGGGAGTGTGCTCATTCGCTTTCACTGGGATAAAAAGAAAAGATTTCATCATATTTTCGCATACTATTCTCAGGAATTGTTCAAGATCCTAAGAGGTCCTCCAGGCTCTTTTTCCATGGAGAGTTAGAATGACTTTATCTGCAAAATATGACATTAAGAGTTCCAATCATGTCCAAAATCCTTCAAGAAATCACCCTGCCCCTCAGAGGAAATTGGTGCAGTGTTTATTAACCTAAATAACCATTATAGATGAAAAAGGAATCAGGTAATATCTTGTCAGAGTGTTTGGTGGTGAACTGAGATAGGCTCACACATAATTGCTTATATTATGAAGATGGAGCAATCATTTTTATGTAATGTAAAAAGCAGAACTATGACATTTCAATAGAAGTATTATATGCCAAAATCTCACCAAACGTTGTTTTAAACTTTTTTTTTAATTTCCTCAAATTATGGTTATAGAAATAATCTTTAGGAACAAACTTAATGGACTATTTTAGAGTCCCCGTTATATAAATTTTACAATCTTTACTTTCATTGTTCCCATGATTTGATGTTATAATATTAATTAAAAATACATTTCAGGTTCACAATATATAATGTGTGCTCACACAGTAGATGATATTTGATATAATGTATGGTTACGATTACATAATCATATTTCTTTGGGTCTTCCCTGTCTATTTTGTCTCTGCACTGTTTAATGTTTCTTCATTGAAAATTGAGTTAGAATGAGGTAACTTCGTTTAAAATGACATTGAGCCCACAAGAGATTAAATCTATAAACCCAAACCAATGGGCATATCAGAATCAAAACATACGGGTCAGGCCAGGGGTGGAGAGAGAGAGAGAGAGAGAGAGCATAGAAAACAACTACATCAATTGCAAATACAACCTTGGGGTGAAGCGCATCAAAAAGTTGGTGAAAAATGGAATTAGTAGAATTTTTCCATGAATTTTTGGATGTTTCTTCACCTATCAGAAAGATGTGTTTACTCTCATAGCTCTTTGTAGTTAAAACTAGATGGTCGTTATTCTCTCACTACTCCTGGCCTTCCTTGATTCTCTAACTGACAAATACGTATTTACAACTCCTGGCTGGCGAGTCTACTAAAGAGCACGTCTAAAGACTATGGAGTAACATTCTTTCACCTCTGTTTCAGTTTGTACCATTCAGGGATTATATCGACCGGAGTGGAAACCACATATTGAGCATGGCCAGATTGGCTAAAGATGTCCTTGCTGAGATCCCCGAACAGTTTCTCTCCTACATGAGGGCCCACGGGATCAAGCCATCACCTGCGCCTCCTCCGTACACCCCGCCGACCCACGTGTTACAGACTCAGATATGACTCCCAGATGCTTAGCGGTCACTGCCCACCAGGGCGGTCTGCTCTGTGCCTGGTGCTCTGTCATGGACCAGGGAAGGAGGCCCTCTGCTCCGCTGGTGTCAGCAGTCCTGGTTAATGTGCTTTGGATCCAAAATGAATTCTCTTCATAAACCAAAATTGTAAATATGGTTGTTGCATGAGCAACAGAAAACTTGTTTAAATGCTTGAAGCAAAATATGGATGTCTTCTCTGATTCTTCAACCTTTTTTTTTTTTTTTTTGACTGAAACAGCTAATTTCCAATGTGTTGGGAAAAAGCACAAACTATGTTTTTAACTCAATTACGTCGAGTGCTGCGGTATAGGAAAGCAGCGCCTTTGTATCAATGTTTACATGTTACTACTTTTTAAATTTCAATACTTTTATAACTGTTCTTAAGAATAAGAGTTTTGAATATTGAATCCTTTGTCTTCTAAATTGCAATAGCTATTACCACAAGAGCAATATCTCTTTGAATGGCTGTCTGGACAAAATACACTCGCAAATAAAAGGAAAGATACTTTCTTATTTCTCAGTCACTGAATCGTGTCTTATGAAGCTGCATCTGCTTAGTAATTGGTTTCTCAGTGACGTTTAGCAAGAACGAGAGCCTAGGCTTAGCAGATGTGAACCTGGTAAGAACATACATTTTCATGGTGTTTGGGTCCTAAGTTTAGACTGCAGTCAGTTTATGTTTTGTATTGCTAAGTAGAAATAATAAAAGTCAAACATTGTGAACTGTAAGTGCACAGAAGATACTTTGTGTAAAAAGTAGCATCTTTTTAATATAATGATATTTAGAAACTAAAACCAAGAATATTTAACTATGAACAATGTAGCAGATGTTTTAACCTTTTTATTCCATTATATACTGTCTAGATATTTTCATTCAAAGGGATACTGCCTCTTTTCATTTGGATTCCTTCTTACCACCTTTCCATGTTGCCTCACAGGGTGCATAGGCTGGAAGTCTTTTGTGAAATTCCCCGTTCAATATACACAACCTTGTGACTTAGTGCACAACACATTTGTGAAATGGCCCCCTCCTATAGACTGATCTGCCTGTTCACAAGTTATTGTAAAGAGTTTTTGCATGTACAGTTTTTACAAGAATTACAATTTTGTGAAGTTGTGTCTAAACTCAAGCATTTCTTTAGAACAAATGGCCTTAAATTCTCACAGAATTCCTGGAAATTATTGTGAATTGCCTTCAAATAATAGAAATAGTGTGTGTGTGTATGCGTTTGGGTTTTGTTTTTTTAATTTCATGTCAGCCATGTAACTATTGCTTTATAATGTTTTCACCTTACCTATATCCTATTTACTACTTGGTTTATTTATATCTCTGTGTTATTCAATTTGTCCCAAGTTGACTTAGGGTGACTTTTATAAGCATGAAAATATTTTACTGAAAAAAATATATATATACATCACATATCTAGAATATCAATGGTATGTAATTATGTAATACAAATTGTCCATTTTTAAGTATGTATTAAAATATTTAAAGGATGACTCTTTGCTCTATAAATTTCATGTATATATGAATAATATGAGGTATGATTATTTCCTTTACTAATCTTGAATATTTATGCCAGTCTAGTTTCATAGCCTACACATTTTTACTTACTTTCATTCATCAGTCCAGAAAACAAAATTAAATGAGATTAGTATTCTTTCTCATGAAGCAAAATAATTTTTACTTTGAACTGACCAAAGAAAATGAAAGATACCCTTTGCAATCCCCACAACCTAATGAGAACAGGTGGGTGGGTATGGAGCAAGCTCAGTAAAAAAAAAATCTCATTTTCTATGTGGTTGAGAATAATTGAACCAGGAATATATATAGGATGTTAGGTCTAGATATGAGATTAAAAATTACTCAGTCATCTTTTCATTGTATAAGCAGAAAAGTCAAGAGTAGATGGATTACATGATACAACCCTACACTCTAAAGCTAAGAAAGAGCTTGTTAATAACATTATGAAAATACTCATTATAATGATGTCATTTTTTAGCGTCACTCTTAGGTGCTATATCATGCAAACCCCCGGAGACATACTTCAGACTTCGGATGCACACCAAGAGTTAACCATGCAAATAGAATGCTCAGGCAGTGGGAGAAGATCACTGAGAAATATGTATTTATTGAGAAAAGCATGATAGAGCCTAGCTATCAAACCAATCGCAGAAAACATACTACAAATCCACGCCTTTTAGAATCCTGAAGACATTAGATGGTGTCTTTTGTAGTCTCATCGATTTCCACTCTGATAATGGCCAGTGCCTATTCATCAATTTTAACTGCAGGCTGAACAGACACCACCCCCAAGTGCTCCCCGAATGAATATTCAAACCATTGAAACCTGTCACCCTTGCCTCACTTTTCCCTCACCCACGTGATTCTTGACCTTATCCACCCTCTGTCCCTAGAAACCGCCCTTCTTTTGCCTCCACCCAGAATCGTCTTTGTGCATTTTCAGCCCCAGCCCCAACTCCTCTTAACCGTGTTTCTCTCAAAGTTCAGCCAACAATGATCAGTACCTTTCCAAACTCTGCCTTGCATTTTAGCACATTTACTGCCTTATACTATTTATAAATTATTTTATCTTTCTCCCGGGCATCTTGTCTCTATCCCCAGTGAATACAACAATAGGACTGGGAGATGGGTAGGTTTTTAAAAGCTTCCCAGATGATTGTGATGTGAAACCAGGGCTGAGAACTGCCGTACTGAAGGACCAGAATATGGCTCAATCACTACTTGTCAAAGTCTCTTTTCCAGTCAGTAATGCGGCAAGCACAGAAGTGTGTGGATTCTAGTGCTGGTGTGCCTGTGGGAAGAGAGAGCGAGGACGGGGTGTGGTCTTGGAGCACGGGCTATTTTGTTCTTCACACAGTGAAGATAATTAGGGATACACATATGCCCCTTTAAAAATGATGGTGGCTTATCATCAGCTTGGGATGTGAAGAGGTTTCTCGGACAAGGATGAAATTGTTATGATTATTTCTTAGAGGACCAGCAACTACCAAGCATTGGACATGTTTTTTCCTTTCACCATGTGCATATTTTAACTATTTTATATCTTTGTGTTATTCCAAAACGGTAAGATATTTAATTTTTTGAAGCTCAGAGTAAAGAATCATTTCTGTCATTAGCACCAATTGGATGAATATCATAATAAAGAAACAGCTGAGGACTAAATTGGTTTCTGATGAGTGCACGAGGTATCACTGAATGATGAACAGAAGGATGGAACTCGGCTTGTGAAAACTGAACCCTTGTGCAGAGCTTTCTCATGAGGGTTACAGGATGCGCCACACACGTGCACCTGCAGGGTAGTGCCTGATGCCGGCGGGAGTCCCATCAAGGAAACCAACTCCCCCCCCATCAAATCGATCCCGACTCACAGTCGCCTACAGAACAGAGTGGAACTGTCACTGGGCTTCTGAGGCGATCCTGAAACTCCTTACAGGAGCAGAAATCCTCATCCAGATCTCCTAAATAGCCCTCTTTTCAATGTATGTCTTGACTTGAAAATGGATACAGCCCTGATGCACGCCTTTTCCTGATTTGAACCATGCAGCATTCCCTTGTTCTGTTGCAACAACTGCAACTTGATCAAGTTCGAGTTCCTCACAAGCACAATGAAGTGTCTGGAATTCCTATTCTTCTCAAGGTGATCCTTTGTTTGTTATGATCCACCTGGTCTTGGCAGAGTCAATACAACACAAGTAAACATCTTCTTGGTAATCTCTGCTTTCGGCCAAAATTCACCTGACGTCAGCAATGTTCTCTTCCTTGTTCCATGTCCTCTTTCAGAATCGGGCCTGAACCTCTGGCAACTCCCTGTCAATGTACCGCTACGATGTAATATCAGCGATATTGTTTATAGTTTGAGCATTTTATTGGGTCACTTTTCTTTGGAATGGGTACAAATATGAATCTCTTCTTGTCAGTTAGTCAATTAGCTGTCTTCTCAATATCCTGGTGTCGATGAGTTTTTAGTGCTTTGCCAGCTTGTTAAAACATTTCAATTGGTCTTCCATCAATTTCTGGACTTTTCTTTTTTCTTTTTGGCTAATAATTTTAGTTCACTTGAACTTCCTTCAGCACCATTGGTGGCTGCTCATATACCACCTCCTGAAATGGTAGAATGTCAACCAGTTCTTTTTGGTACAGTGACTGAATTCTTTCCATCTTCTTTTGATGTTTCCTTCATCATTCAATATTTAGCCATAGAATCTTTTTAAATATCACAACGCTAACTTTGATTTTTCTCCTGAGCGATTTCAGTTTAAGATACTGTTTGACTGGGTAGACTAGAGAAACAAACCCATGGACACACATGTGTATAAGAAAGAAATTTATATACAAGAGCAATTGGACATTGAGAAAACATTCCAGTCCAGTCCAAGGCCATAAGTCTGATATTAACCCATATGTCTGACACCAATCTGTAAAGTCCTCTTCAGACTCACGAAACACATGCAGGGACACCGAATGCAGGATGATCACAGGCCCGTGGGTAGAAAGTCTTTGGGTCCAGTGGTGTTGTAAGCATCTCAGCGCCGGCACGGGTCTCTCTGGCTTCAGAGGTCTGGTGGCATCCATGTGGCTGTCGGGCTCAGGGCACTAGGGTAGTTCCATGTGTCTTGTTAGCTGCAATGTCTCCCAGGGAGTGGCAGAGAGAGAAGGGTCTCCCATCTCCAAGGAGGAAGTACCGGATTTCCCAGAATTCTCAGAGGCCTCATTGGCTATGAACTGATTGACAAGCTAGACCCCACCCCTACACTCTTACTCCTCAAATTGACAACTGATTACATATCTACCACCTATACACGGAGTGTGTTCTTTAGGGTTTCTACTCTAGTTCTTCCAGTATCATATTTAACTTTGTCTTCTTGAACTGCCCTTTGAATTTTGTATTCAGCTCTTCAACGTTCTTCCATTTGCTCTAGCTACTCTATGATGACGAGCTCATTTCAGAGTCGCTTCTGGCCTCCAAGCTGAGCTTTTTTTCTTTCCCACCTTCTAATTACCTTTTGCTTCCTTTAGGATGTCGTTGCAACTCTGCCGGGGATCATCAGATCTCCTGTGTCCTCAGTGTTCAATGCAGCAACCTTTTCTTGGGATATTCTCAAAATTCAAGTGGTATAGACTCAAGGTCCTATTCTGTTTCTTGTGGACTTGTGTTCATTTGCTTCCGCTTTATCCTGAACTTACATATGAGCCATTGATGATCTATCCCACAGTTCGCCCTGACGGTTTTAGCTGCTGGTCTTGAGCTTCTCCATCAGGTCTTCCCACAGATGTAGCCCATTTGATTTCTGTGTATTCCATCTGGAGAAGTCCATGTGAATTGTCACTTTTTGCATTGTTGAAAAAATGGCATTTGCTATGAACAAGTTGTTGGTCTTGCAAAATTCTGTCATGGGATCCACAGCTTCTTTTCTATCTCCAAGCCCATATTTTTCCAACTATTGTTCCTTCTTTGTTTCCAACTTTTGCATTCCAGTTGCCAATAATTATCAACGCATCTTGATTTGATGTTTGATCAATTTCTGGTTGAAATTGTTGGCACAACTCTTCAATTTCTACTTCACTAGCTTTTGTTGGTGTTTGAATAATGCCAACATTCAAAGATGCACTTGAATAATCATTGCTTTGATTGGATCTCCTTGAAGGTAGATATAATCCTATCACAGATAGCATTGGACTCCATGGTGGGTTTTGCAATGTTCTTTTTGACAATGAATGCTATGCCATTTGTCGTGATTGTGTCATTTTTGGCATAGTAAATCATATTACCTTCTCATTAAAAATGGCCAATCCCAGTCCATTTCAATTCACTAATGTCTAGGAAATTGTTCTTTATGTGTTCAATTTCATTTTTGACAACTAATTTTTCTACATTCATATTTTGCACATTCCATGTTCCAGTCATTAGCAGATCACTGCAGATGTTTCTCACTACCTTGAATTGTCCCCTATCAGCAATTGAAAATCCTTAAAGCTCCCCTCCTGCAGACTGTACTCTACTCCTATCACCCTGGTAGACTCCCCTCTGAGAAATCATCTCCTTCTCACATTTCAAGTGTCTTCTGACCCAAGGAGTCCATTCTCTGGCACTATTATCCGCTGACAACGTCTGTGCCCACTCAGTAGCCTGTCAATATCTGACCGTGTGTCCATGATGTGCATCAGGTTTCCAGAGGCTCCTTCCTCTGAAGTGAGTTCCTTCTTTGTTGTTTGTTCTCAGTCTGGAAGTTCCAACGAAGCCAGTTTACTCTGGGTGATCCTGCTGGCAGTTGAGACACCAGTGACGTATCTTCCAGCATCACAGCAACAGTCAAGTTACCACTGTATGAGAACTTTGTGTTTACACTACATATATAGATATAGATATAGATATCATCATTATGGAATTTCTGATCGAACTATTATCCACTTCAATCATATTTTTTAAAACATTAT